TCTTTTTGATTAAATAGCTCTTTTTTTACTTATTTTCACCTTTCATTAGTCTTCCAAAAATTTTACAAAAAAGTAAAGATTTGGCTTACTCTTTTCAAAAAATTAGATTTGTTTATTTTTTCTAATTTGGACAATGCAACTATATGATAAGTTTATTAACAAATATAGTGCTACCCTATAGAATAGATTGAGATTCCAGATTAAAAAGAGATAATTATAAAAATATATAATTGTTGTATTTGTTATATAATTTTTTTTAAACTTTACACAGATTATAATAAAATATTTGGTTTATGTAGAAATAAAATTCCTTTTATTTTTATATTTTATTTCTTCTTTCACCTCTCTTTTTTTTATCCTTTTTAATTATAGCTTGTTTTTTTATTTTATAGAATTTCATTGAAATAATTCTAGTTTATTTATGAACTGATAAGACAGGTTTCTCTTGAGCCTCTAAAGATCCAAGTGAAGTCAGTCTTGCTAATCTTTAAAATTCTTTAGAATTAATATATTTATTTTATATAAATTACACTAAAAAAGATCAAGTCATGGCTAGACCTGTTATATAAAAAAAAAAATAGTCTTGCCAGACTGATCCGGGATGATCGCCTTTTGCATTACCTTTGTGCTACACAAATGATCATCATGTGATTTATTTGTATTTTAATTGGCTATTAGGTCCGAAATATTATTGCTATTATATCTCTAGCCAGAGATATATACAGTAGAAATACTCTAAATAATAAAGTAATATCCAGCAGCTTACTATGATTTGTCTGCCCAATAATTTTATTATTGGACAAAAAAGAAGTTTAAAATAGTTTAAACTATTGTCGGGCAGAAATTCATAACAAACCACCGGATAACTATTAAATATTGGATGTGTAGCATCCAATAACAGTTTTATTTTGCAGAAGGAATGAGAATACCGTGATCCGAAGAAACACGGAATGATCATTTTGGATGACAAATAAAAGAAGTATATGACTTTGAATTTAATGAGCTAACCTGGGCCCCCGAAGGGGCTCAGGTTGTCAAGCACATTAAATTCAAAACCAGATACGCTGTTATTGGATGCAGTGCATCCAATAACGGATTTATTTTTCTTTTACTTTCATAACAAATAAATCTCATGAGCTTATTCGAGTCTATAACACCTGTTATACGACTTACATTTATTATTAAAAAGAAAAATAATAACAGTTATAAAATAGAGACCGGATTAATAAAACTTTAGTTTCTAGACCTACGTATTGCTTCTTTAATTACAAATTACAGATTGTAATCAGGAAACTTGAATCAAATTGAATCATGCTTGTAAAGTGGTAATGTATGTAGATGTGCTTACAAGTCTGGCAAAAAAATGTGTAAGTACACATTTCCCGGCCAAATCCGAATTACGAGATTTAATAGTTTAATGCATATATCGATATATATATTTTTTGACGAATTAAATTTTAATATATTTGATGGCAAGCAAATGAGTAGGTATTTTTTCCAATCGATTTTTAAGGTTGAAATTATCAGGATCATCATGATCGGATCACATCTCAATGAGCACCAAATCACCTAAATCAGATCATTAGATCCTGATAATTTCGGCCTCAAAAATTGAAAGGGGGTCATACGGTAATCATGTTTAACGTTACCTCTCTGAATCAATGATCTATCAAAATATTTTTAGGAATGATACTAAGCAATAACTTCTCTATGAAACACGACATCTTGATAAATTACAGTAGAACCCATATGACTAGTTTGGTTAGAAGGATTTTAGCGGTAGATGTGGGGTGGTGCCGCCTTGCGTTTTTGTTGATTTAATTATTGGTTTAATTTATCATGCGCCACTAGTGGGTACTCCTGCAGAACCAGATCCAATAATTATGTTAATCCCAAAAACATTTAGGGTATCAAGAGATACCCTTGTGATACATTCATAAATACGCAAGCACGTCACATTTTTTTTCACTCATATATTATGTACCCGTGTTTTAAAACTATGGGTAGTGATGCGTGAAGTCGGGAAGGATATTTATTACAATTATATAAAATTACATATATATATCAATTTATAAATTAACTCAGGTTAATTCAAGCATTCTAGGAGAAATCTACGACCTATTTTTTTTCGTCGGAATCATCACGTTGATTGGTCGATCATAACGAATTCATTAGACATGAAAGCGCGATCGATAATTCTGGTAATTCGAAATTATCTCAATTGCTACAAATGAAAACTCAATTAATGCTGTAAAATCAATATAAACAATTATACTCTGACAAGAAAATCAGTTGATCTAATAGATTACTAATAAAATAACGGGAACCTACATACTACACAATTTCTTTTTTTTTTTTCTTTTAAAAAAGGTTTTTTTTTTCATTTGATACCAGACCAAGAAAAACCGTGGTTTGAACAATATTTGTCGTAATGATATTTTTCCAACCAAAATTGTTTCCAACCAACAAAATAAAAAAGGTTTATATATATATATATGATTAACATTCGAAACTAATATGTTTTTAAGGGTAAGGATGGTTGATGACGGATTTTTAAACCCGAGTGAGAAAAAAAATAAGCGTTCGAACTAATTGAAAATCGATCTGAACAATAATTGTAAGTTTATATATAAAAAAATAGTTATGAGCGAAAAGATCAGAGAAATAATAGTGGAAAATATAAAGCAATAGAAAAAAAAAACATATAAAAATATACAAGTTGTAAAATCAAAACATCTTGCTTGATACTGCCATCTCCTTATGACCCTGTCTTTACGAGATAACAAATCATACGCGACCAATAGTACCACAACAAATATCAATCTCCAAAAATCTAATATCTAAACAATATTGAACCGGAAAAGTTCCAATCTAGAACATTGATGCTATAACGTATAAAAAAAGATTGGTATAAAAAAATACATGTATTTGATGTACGAAAACAATCAGATTATCGAATCTTAACAAACCCGAAAACCATCAAGATGGTGGCAATCGAATTTACTGATCCATCATTCACGAATTAGAACATACTGCCTAATTTACTCGGCAGATCACTGATTCCGTTTGCTATGTCAGAAGGACCTATGCCCATGCTATTCATGACGATCATAGCAACACCAGCACCAACGGCAGCTCCGATTCCGGCCCAAACCGCGCGTTTCTTATTGCTTATACCATAATTAAGGTATTCTTCTTTCTCATCCAACTTTCGTTTCAGGCTTTGTACTTTATCCTTAACATCACGTTCACCAATATCAGAATCCCTGAGACGTTTAGATGGCTCCTGTTTAGCAGAACGGGCCTGTAATCTCGCAGAAGTTCTTCGCGGGGCTTTAACCTCATCAGATTTAATTGTTCCGTTAGGCGTTGATTTAATATTGTTATTGACAATTGAACGAGTACTAGTAGTAGCAGGTGACGTAATATTTGGAGATTCCAACGTTTCTGTGTGGGATGAAGCTTCACGCTCGGACTATATAAAATATATAAAATTAAAATATATAATAAAATATTATTATTTAGCGTAACAAAAAGCCAGTAATCAACAAAAATAATTATAATCGATTGTACCTTAATTTTTGGGCTTTGCTTTTTAGGAGTATCAAACCAACTATTTTCTGATTCCAGTAGTGCGGCAACATGTTCGTATATATTGTATTTTTGAGCGATATCTTTAGCTAATAATATTTATATAAATTTGTAAATTGTTATTATCTATTATTCTAAAAAAGATTATATTAACATTAAATATAGTCTAACAAATGGTGCGTACCATGTTCAAGGGGAACCCTTTGGATTAGTTTAAAATTCGGCAATTTTATGTAAAAAAAAAAAAAAAAAGTT